CACGCCTCCTCCAGCAACGTGGCCGTGACCACCGTGAGCACCTGCACGCCCTCCGTGGTGATGTCAACAACATGTAGGTCCTTCATCTGCAACTACACAACAAATGTGAACCTTACGTCTACATTTGGACCGTGCAATGCTAACTCAATCTCTGTAAAAGCCTCCTTGAGTTTTTAGAAAAGCGCTATATAAGTGTCATGTATTATTATTATTATTATTATTATTATTATTATTATTATTATTATTACTGTTTCTCTCCATTTACAGTCTTTGTGCTAATTTAAGCAACATTAGCTTTTTCACAGATCCAACATTTCTATTTTTAAAGCCCTTTTATTTATTATATATTATTATATATTCTGTTTACCATAATACAAGATGACAAAAAGTGTCACATTCTCTATTTTGGGAAACTGCAAACATCACATTTATGGCATTTTTATACATATTATATTTGGTTTATCCCCAATCACAAGAAAATGTTATATCTTAACATAAATAAAATATGCTTTCCTGTTAACCTTTACATACTTTCTTATCTCTTTTTGTGTGACGTTCACCCCTGTTTCCTCACAGCATGCAGTATTAGACTAATAGTTCTGTGTTTTCTGCTGCAGGTGCCTCTTCAGGAGGGGTGAAGGTGACCTCCACTCGACTCCCCTCCCCCAAGACGATGGTGGGCTCCCCGGCTCAGATCCTGGCTCAGTTCCCCAAACAGCATTCCCCCAAACCGCTGCAGCAGGGCTCCTCTCTGGGGGTCTGCAGCGTCACGCAGACCTCCAGCTCCTCGCCGGGCTGCAAGCCCACCATCCAGATCAAACAGGAGTCCGGTCAGTCTGCACACCACCCTCTCAATTCAATAGCTTTATTAGCTTGACCATAGTTACATATAGTATTGCTAAAGCTCTGTATAATTGCAACATCTATACAAAATACATAAATATAAACAAACTGCTAAGATTGTTTTCTTTACAAGGAACACGGATCCATTTAATTCATTCAAAATAAAATCTGATATATATATATAAGATGTGAGACCTGGTGTAGCAGGTCAGTCCGATGTAGTGATGGGAATTGTGGCTCTTTGAAGGGAGCCGGATCTTATGGCTCCGTTCCTTTTAAAGGGGGCGGGGTTACAGGTTTATCTGCGAAATAATCACCAGGATAATGATTGGCTGTATTGCCAGACCTAATGTCAATAATCTGCTTTGTAAACGTGACACAAGGTGGCGCCATGTCATCATGTCAGTGAATGCACTTTGAATTTACCCTCTGTATGTGTTCAGTAAATAAAGTTGCCTTGAATGAAATTCACGCAACTCTTAATATTAGATACTGTGTTTTTAAGTGGCGATGGAGATTATTTGTTGACCCTGCTTTAAAGGATATTTTGCCTTTACAAATGGTGCGCTTTATCACCGCCTGAGTTTTGGTTGAAGTGCTCATTTTGTGCTATTTTCCATCCGAAAAACACGTTGTCTACCTGTCCTGTATCACTTGTTATGACTTCTCTCTCGCGCGTATTCCGTTAAGACCCACCCCACCTCACTCCTCGTGCTGAAACCTACCAATCAGAGTAGGGGCGGGTCTTCACAGAATACGTTTGGGGAACAAATCAAGCTTTTTAAAAGGCGAGTGGATTTTGGCAGGCAGTGAGTGCGGACCAACGATTGAACGATAACAAGAACGGCTCTCCCCAAGTACGACTCGGTTCCCCTCGCTCGAACCAAAGGGCCGTTCAAAAGAATCGGCTCGTTCGCGACCGACACATCACGAGTCCGATGACCTCATACTGCAAGAATGCAACTCTTTAATATTTTTAGTTTTTCATTTATTTTTTTGCTTATGATTGAGTTTTGGGAGGAATTGTTTCCGTACAGGTTCAAATGTTGGACATTGTGTGAGGAAGTGCTGCTCTCACTGACTGTGGATATTATTTATTGTGTGATTTTGTTGCAGCATATAATTGTGTTATATTTGTGTTATAAGATAAGAAGTACTTTATGATCCCAATTTGAGACATTTTTGCGTTTCAGCAGCATAAAAAGAGAAGGCATTGTACATAAGAACAAATTAAAAGACTAGAAATAAACAATCCAAAATGGAAAAATCTCAAATAGAAATAAAATAGCATTAAAAAAAAAAAGTAAAATATCAGTAACAAAATATAAAGCCGTATATTATATACATTAATTGTGCAAGGAATGGATTATTACATATTAGATTGAATATACAGTGGACGAAATAAGTATTTGATCCCCTGCGGATTTTATAAGTGTACCCACTTACACATAAATGAACAGTCTATCATTTTAATGTTAGGTTTATTTTAACCGTTAAAATGACAGACTGTTAATGTCTTTGTAAGCTGTCTGTCCAGCTGCAGGTGGAGATGATGGAAGTGTCCTTTGTGTGTGATTTTGTTGCAGCTTATACGTGTTGTGTTTTTCTATTCACTGAATCACTGTGTCAATCATTTACAGGTGTAAAGATCATCACCCAGCAGGTGCAGCCCAGTAAGATCCTCCCCAAGCCGTCCTCCGTGGCTCTGTCCAGCAGCACCTCCTCCCCCATCATGGTCGTCAGTAGCAACGGCGCCATCATGACCACCAAACTGGTCACTCAGTCCACAGGTGAGAGAAGCCCACCTGTAGATTCAAGATTCAAGGCTTTATTCGTGTCGTGTGCACATTAGCTACAGTGTACAGAGATGGAGAAAGCACACACATCCTTTCCTCAAGTAGAAGTACAGATACTCGTGTTTAAAAATACTCTGGTAAAAGTAGAAGTACTGACTAAACTTCTTTACTCAAGTCAAAGTAAAGAGGGCTTTGAAATGTACTTCAGTAAAAAGTACCCATAACTAGCAGCTGTTTTAAAGAGTACCTGACCTCCCTTTATATTAATAGAACAATAATGTCATTGTTAGCTAATGAATGTTTCCATGGTGAACAACGGCAACATGACAACGTTTTCATTGGTCCCTCTTCTTTAGAGAAGACCAGGAAATGATGGATACACGGATCGTGTTCAAATCAATAGGCACGCAATGACTCTAAATAATAATGATCACGCCACCAAACACACATTCAGACTAAAGGAACCAGCCTGTTTGGAAAATGAGAGAAGTAGAAAGTACAGGTATTTGTGTTCAAAATGTAAGAAGTAGAAAGTACAGGTATTTGTGTTCAAAATGTAAGAAGTAGAAAGTACAGGTATTTGAGTTCAAAATGTAAGAAGTAGAAAGTACAGGTATTTGGGTTC